ACACTGAATGGGTGGCTCCTGCGTTCCAGGCTGCAGAGGGGAGTGGCGTCCCCAGCCTGGGCATTGACCGAGGTGGCCCATGTGAGCCTGGAGCAGGAGGGGCAGGCAGGCTCCAGGGCAGGTGGACGTCAGGTGACCGCTGGAAAGAGGCTGCTTCCCTGTGCGGCTGGGTATTGGAGGCCAGTTCAGCATGCCCCGCCTTCCCAGCCCATGGCTTGGGTCGGGCCAGGGGTCACCTCCCGGTTCTGCTCCGGACCTTGGGCAGGGGGTTTGCTCTCTAAGCCTCAGTTCTCCTGTCTGTGAAGTGAGAACAGTCACTCGCCCCCCAGCCCCACGTCCAGCTCCCTGCACAGCCCTGCAGTTCCCTGCTGGGGCCCAACACTGGTCAGACCCACCCCCTGGAATCCTGAGTGGAATGCAGGAGAGGGACCAGCATCAGGGTCAGTGTAAGTGCTCAGCCCCCATTAGGCCTGCGCCTGTACCGTGGAGGCCCGTGGTGGTCAGCTGACACCCGGACTCTGAGGCATATGACTCTTGGTTTGCTTCACTCCAGCCAAACTGCTGCCCTGGGCCTCCTCCACACCTCAAGACCCCTCCTGCCACAGGACCTTTGCCCTGGCTGTGCTCTCTGCCCAGGAAGCTTTCCTCCTGAGAACCTGCGGACACAGTCCCTTCCTTCCATCCGCTTGTTCTTTGAAAGTCATTCTTGGTGTGGCCTTCCTGATGACCCTCTTCCCCTCTCCCTCAGGATGGTCCCTGTTGCACTTGTCTCCATCTGAGGGGCCATATGTTTTGCTTGTTGACCGCGAACTAGAACCTGACTCCTCAGGGCAGGGGCTTTGTCCACTGTGTCCCCACCATGCCCAGAAGAGTGCGGATGGAAACCAGTGGACACCCTGAGGTCCTCAGGTCTCCATGGGCATTGCATGTTGTCACCTCAGCCTCCCGAGCTCCTTTGTGGGGTGAGGAAGGAGATGCCTAAGTTAATGAGCCAAACCCTCGGTGGCCTGGTGCGGTGGCCACGCCTGTAACCCCAGTGGCTCAGGAGGCTGAATCAGGAGGATCATGAGTTCAAGCCCAGCCTCAGCAACTTAGGCCCTAAGCAACTTAGCCAGACCCTGTCTCAAAATAAATAAGTAAATAGAAAAAAGGGCTGGGGATGTGGCTCCGTGGTTAAGCCCCTGGATTCAATCCCTGTTACCAATAAATAAATGAATAAATAATCGGTGATTAGGGACAGAATAACATACAAAGAACATGTAAGTAAATGGTGACATTTTAAAGAGAGACAGGAAGCAGACCTGGTGCCAAATGTAAAATCCTGTCCCTGATGCATTTGGCAGCCTGTCAGGGAGGCCACGCACCCACAGGAGACAGTTTGAAGGTGGGGGAAGGGGCACCCACCACTCCCAGTTCCCAGAAGAAGAAACTGAGGACCAGAGAGGGTGGATGCATTTCCTGAGACTACTCAGGAGGTAGTGTGCAGGGCCTGGAGACTCCCTGGTCCTCAGAGTGCCCAGCCTGGGGGCATCGGGCAGCAAGTCCCCCAGGGACAACCCAAAGCACTTCTTCTCAGTTCAGCTCCCACCACCCACATCCCCCTTCACGTCAGCCCAGCAGACCCCTTTGTGGTCTCTGAGCCACGACCCGTCTTGCATCTGGAACTTCACTGTGCTGCTGCCCATGGACCCTCAGGGCCAGCGGACACACGCCTCTCTGCCCAGCTGACTCTGGCTCCCCGGCTGGCTGGCACATCCCTCTTCCCAGTAGGTGTCCTTGCCTGTTTCCTGGTGCCCCTGCCTGGCCCCCAAGAGCCCGTTCCCCCCACGGATAGGGAGCACGTCCCTCTTCCTGTACTGGGCAGAGATGGGCACCCTGGACTGGTGAGGTGCTCAAGGGGGGAGCCCTGAGGGGGAGAGACCACAGAAGTGCCCTGCAAGTGCCAGGGCCCTGGGACACATGTTCAGCCCTGCAGAGCTCCTGGGGCCCTGCCTGACACGCGCCCCTCCCCAGGAGAGCATGCGGGCGTATGCTGCCAACGTCTACACCTCCGTGGTAGCAGAGCTGACCAACCGGCCCCAGCGCCGGTTCATCGCGGTGGAGCAGGAGTTCTTCCGGCTGTGGTGGACCAGCGTCGCCTCAGAGAAGCAGAAGTACCAGGTGAGGCGGCCGGTGAAGCCTAGAGCAGGAGCCTCGTGGGCTGGGGCTGAGGCTGCAGCTGCGTCCGCATGAACCAAACCCCAGGGACTGCTTAGGCCAGGCTTCATGGTCAGGGCCACAGCAAGAAAGGGTTTTCTTTTTAATCCAGGCTTTCCTGGGGGCTCTTGAAAAAGTCTCCAGCTCTGGCAGGAGGGGCACATTCCCAGGTGCTGCCTGGCCCCTCCTGAGCCCCTGCACCCCTTCCCTTATTTGCTCTGTCTGTCTGGCCCCCAGGCACAGGGGTGGTGGCCCTTGTGAGGGCGCTGTAGCGTGGGCCAGGGTTGACAGCTTCACCGAGTGCAAAGAGCCAGAGCACCCCCTCTCCGTGACACAAACACCCAGAACCTAGGCAGGAGCTTGTTCCTCTTTTCAGAACAGTTACTGAGCATGGACTTCAGAGAGGTTAGGCAATTTGCTTGAGGCAGCGAAGCTGAGAGGCAGAGCAAGGACTCCTCCCGGCCTCCTTGGGGGTCTCTTCAGCCTGCAGCCTGTCCAGCCATGATGAGAAACCCTCCATGTGATGGCCGCTTGCCAGGGGCCCGGCCACGGGGATGTTTTACAGAGAGGGCATGCAGCAGGTCACACAGCCTGTGAGTGATCAGTGTGTCTGACTTGGGAGCATGCTGGGGACAGTCCACAGTCCTTTCTGAGAGGGATGAGGGACATGACAGGCATGTCTTGGTGGAGACCTGGCAGGACACTCCTGGGAAGCTCCCTGGAGGCAGGGACTTGTTTCCTTTGTCCATTGCAGTGTCCCAGGACCTGCCCAGTGCAGTGCCCATATGTCTCAAGTGAATGACCCACAAATGCTGTACCTTGGAGTACCAGCCATAGCTGCAGGCCCACATCCTTGGGATCATTTACCTTCCCATCCTCCTGTTCACTCGTTTATCCAGAAATATTTATCAGCTACTCACGAGACCAACCCAAATCCAGGGACAGTCTGCAAGATAACTAGTCTGTGGTCTCAGAGTGGTCAGTCCCACAAGGAAAGGGGAAGCCAGAGGAGCTGTTTCAAGTTAAAGGGTCCAGAAGAGAAATGACAGTGTCATGCACTACATGGTCCTGGCTTGAATCTGGCAAAAGGAACAGGAATTTGGCACAAAGTCTGTGGATAAGCTGGTAGTGTTGTCTTGACGTTAAAGGTGCTGATTTTCATCATTATGCTATGGTTATAATTAATTACTGCTGCTCTTCTGAAGTGCACCAAAAGCCTCGATGCTCCTGAGCTACTTCCAAAACAGACGGGAAGTGTCAGAGCTGGAGCATTACAACAAAGGAGGTCAGAGCAATGGGCGAACCGGCAAGAGGCTGCACCTTAGCTCTTTGTACTATTCTTGCAAGTTTTTGTTTGTTTTGTTGTAGTGGGGATTGAACCCAGGGCCTTGTGGTGGCCAGGCAAGTGCTTTACCACTGAGCCACATCCCCAGCCCTTTATTTTATTTTGAGACAGTCTCACTAAGTTGCCCAGGCTGGCCTCAAACTCACAGTCCTCCTGCCTCAGCCTCCCAAGTAACCCAGCCTTACAACTTTTTGCTGAGTTTTAAATTACTTGAAAACTAGAAGTGCACTTATAGGTAAAATCTCAGGCAGCAGCCATGGCCAGGTGCTCCCTGGGTGCAGCTGGCACAGTCTGGACCAGAACAGTGTCCTGCTTTTGTGGAATAAAGTAGGGTGAGGGGCTTAATGAGGTGCTACAGGCGCGGCCCTCACAGACCCAGCCAAGTTTAGGGCTTGAACCTGGCTGTTTCTCTCCGCCCACCCTGCCAAGGTCCACCAGCTCCTGAAGAAAGGACAACTGGAGTTTGTCCTTGGAGGCCAGGTCATGCATGATGAGGCTGTGACCCACCTTGATGACCAGATTCTACAGCTCACAGGTACGGCCACCCCGCCCTACGCCCGGGGACTCCAGTGGGCTAGGAGTTCCAGCTGTGGCCACCCCGCAGTGTGAAGCCTACCCCTGGAAACGGTGACTCCTGGAGCACACCCATGCCTGGCCAAGGGAGCTGAGTGCCAGGGTCGAGCTGGGCTTCAGAGTCGTGTCGCGTGGGTGCATCCTGACCCTGCTCAGTCCCGTCCGTCCCCTGAGCATGGGATGTGGCCCCCCGTGCCCCAGTTTCCTTTGTTGATAAGTGTGATGTCGATGCCCACCTGAGAGAGTCGTCGTGAGGATTCAATTGGGATGATTCAGGTGAAGGGCTTTAAGTGGAATGTGTGGTCCTCTGGGGTGCTCAGCTGACTTCACCCCCCCACCCTCACCACGGTCACCCTCACCACCATCCTCACCCCGATCGCCACCTCGGTCACCACCTCAGTCACCACCAGCACCAGCACCCTCTTCCCCTGCACCATCACCATCCTCGTCCTCCCCCTCTCCATCCCCTCCGTGGTCACCATACTCCCTGTCCCCACCACAGTTGCAGTGGGCACGTCACACTGCAGGCTGTAGCCACGCCCGCCACGGGCCGTGTTCCTCAGAGGTGTGGGAGTGGAGAGCTGACCACCCTCGCCATCTCTGGTCCCTTGGGCCCTTTTTACCTGGGTTGAGCTGTAGTGGGCTCTGCTGTGAAGTGGGCCCCAGAAGGGAGGAAAGAGGCGGGCCGTGGACGGCCTCCCGCCGAGCTGGCCTCCCACATGGAGCTGGGCCCCTTCCCGAGTGGGGGCGTGAGGTACCTCCGCCCAGACCTGTCCTGCTGCCCGGGCTGTGGGGACTCCTGCCCTCCTCTTGGCCCTCATGTCAACTCACACCTGAATGTTGGATGTGACATTTTTATTGAGGGGCGTTTGTTTCCAGCATCTCTGAGACGAGTCAGAGGTGGGCAGCAGGCCCCGTGACTGAAGCTTTCAGCCCCCTCCTCAGGCAGCAGTGCCCTAGCGGATTCTCAGAGGCCTGGGGGAGTGGCAGGTGCCAGCAGTAACCACCCCTGGCCCTGAGCCGGCCTGAGGAGGCCGGCCAACACCAGGCGGAGTGGAGGGAGGAAGGAGTCCAGGCAGGAGCGAAGGAAGCCACTACTGTCCTGTCCCCCCACTGGTGCCCCCTCCCTCTCCTTTGCTGATGGACCCCTCCCTCTATCCCTCCAGTGTCCCCCAGCAGTATTTAAAACACTGAACAACGCCTTACGCATCTGCAGGTCTGGGCAGCCCAGGGCACAGTGGATATCCAGTCTTCCTGTCCTCCCTTGTCCCTGCCTCCACACATGGCTTGGCCTGTCCACTGGGTCACTGTACTAGTGAGACACTGGTTCGGCTGCTGCAGTAGGGACCAAGAGCCATGAAAGACTGTCTTTATGGTTAAGGTGGGAAGTCTTCCCTGGAGCCCAGCAGGGTCGCCACACGTGCGGTAGCCATTGTCCAGGCTATTAAAGATAAACTGAGGCGCGTGGGGGACATGTGGGAGCTCCTCTGTGCAGACGGCAGCCCCTGGATCGGCAGCACCACCCTGCGGATGTCCAGGGCGGGAAGCCACGTGGGGAGAACCTTCCTGAGGAGATCCTGGAAGCAAGCCCTAATTAGGATCCACGTACGCGAGTCTGGCCCTGGTGGCTTACCCGTCCTCCCTCGGTCCCTGACTTGGTCTCTTACATAGAGACCCAGGGCGCCAGTGCCGCTACAGCCCAGTGGCCTGAGTCATTGAGGGCACCCACCTCTGGCTGCCGACAGAAGGGAGTGCGTGTGTGGCTGGCCCAGACCTCTGTAGGTCCTCACGGCTGGAGTCCCCAGAGGAGGGACCCAAGAGAGAAGGCAGAAGTGACGGTGATGGCAGGTGCCCTGCCCCTTAGCACTCAGCCCACTTCCGTGTTTGTTGGGGGTGAGTCCCCAGGTCCCGCAGCCGGCCCGGCACCCTCAGCACCAGAGCTTGTCCAAGCTCACGGAGAGCCTCAACGGCACCCGGGCTGCCACATGGGCAGGCCTTGAGGGCACGGAGTCAGCCAGTCAGGAAGGGCAACACGGAGGACCACACTTACAGGGGGTTCCCGGAGCCCTCAGGTCCATAGGGACAGAAAGCAGAATGGCCGTCACCAGGGACAGGAGTTGGCATTCAGAGGGCTTATGCAAGACGGAAGAAGATCTGGATGGCGGTGACGCTGCAGGACCCTGGGCACTACCTCTGTGGGACCTGCCTGGCCTGGCGGCTGGTGCCCCAGCCTGCTGGACAGGCAGTGAGCCTGCTGCGGGTCACTAGCAGGGCGACGCTCTCTTTGCAGAAGGACACGGGTTTCTCTATGAGACCTTTGGGATCCGGCCACAGTTCTCCTGGCATGTTGACCCATTCGGTGCCTCGGCCACGACCCCCACCCTGTTTGCCCTGGCGGGCTTCAACGCCCACCTCATCTCCCGGATCGACTACGACCTGAAGGAAGCCATGCAGGAGGCCCAGGTGCGTGCTGCGCCACACCTGCCGTCACCCCTCGTTCAGCACATCTTGGGGGACGCCACCAGGTGCCTGAGCCCGAGCGTGTGGGGTGCCTGGCCTGCCCTTGTCTTGCCACCTCCCCAGGGTGCCCTCTTCCAGCAGGCCCAGCCCTAATGGCCCCCTCCAGTCCAGAGACCCCTTCCTCAGGGCCTGGGGCCGGCCCAGGTCCTCAGGCCCCTCCAGGGACCAAGCAAAGCGCACTGAGGAACCAGAGGAGGAGAGTGGGCCCGGCTGGAGCGCAGCAGCGGCCTCTGACGTCCGAGGCAGCCAGACAGTGGACAGGGCAGACCTCCCGGCTGTGTGCCCAGGAGCCGCGGGCTCCACCCTCCTCTCCCATTAACCTCCCTCAGCAGCCGGGAGGCTGGGGCTGCGGGAATAAAGTCGCCCCAACTGGCGCTTGGGCAGCAGACATCTGGGGTCTCAGCTCTGGTGCTGCAGGGGCAGCTGCCACAGGCCCCTCTCCTGGCTTGTCGATGTTGTTTTCTCTCTGTGTCTCTGCTGTGTATCCAAATGTCCCTTTTTATAAGGGCCCGAGTCCTACTTGCATTGGACCCACCAATGACCTCATTCCAACACGGTCACCTCCACAAGACCCTGCTTACAGTCAAGGTTCTGGGGGCTGGAACTTCAGCGTAACTTTGTGGAGGGTGATATTCAACCCGTCATAGATGAGCAGAATCATAATCGTACCCATTTCACAGGGTGAGGAAACTAAAGCCCAAAAGGCCAACTTGTCCTGTCCAGGTCGCCCTGGAGAGCAGTGGTAGGGAGTGGTAGAGCTGGCCAGGGGAAGTTATGCAGAAGGACATCAGGCTCTAGGCAGGTCAGCCAAGGAACATTTCACTGAGGGCCTGGCAGAGAAGTGGTCAGGACCCTCTCCAGTCAGCTGCTTTCACCTGCCTGTGACCCCATGAGTGCTGGGGGTGGCTCCCCATTTATCCTGGGGCATAAGGACTTGTGTGTGGCCCCAAGCCAGAGCCGAGCAGAACTAGGACTTCACACCTGCCTTGCAACCCTGAGCATCAGAACTGTTGAGGAGCAGGCTTCGCGCTTGTGAGAGGCAGTGAGCCCCGGGCCCGGGAGTCTTCAGGTGAAGCTGGAGCAGGCTTCTCCTGGAGGAGCTGGCAGCGAGAAGCCTGCGAGGAGCGGGAGGGTGAAGGAGCAGCTGCTGGCAGGCAGACTCCACGGCCCCCAGACCCCACGGGGGGCTTGAGAGTGGCCTGGAGGGATGTTACAGAGGGGGCAGCAGCAGGAGGTCTTGGCCCACAGAGAGCAGAAGGTGAGGACCAGCCAGGGGGCACAAGCTGGGCTGGGGTGGTGCAGCCGGGGCTGCGGCTGTCCTGTCCTCACTGCCCCCCGTGGCCTTGCAGGGGCTGCAGTTTGTGTGGCAAGGGTCCAAGAGCCTCTCGGCACAGCAGCAGATCTTCACGCACGTCATGGACCAGTTCAGCTACTGCACGCCCTCGCAGCTGTCCTTCTCCAACAGGTACCAGCCCTCCCCTTCCCCAACAGGTTCCAGCCCTTCCCCAGCGGCTGCCACCTGCCCCTCTGCACCTTCCTGAGACCCCAGACCCGCGTGTCTGGCCCCCGCAGGTGGTGAGCAGTTGCTGCGACACCGTCTTGAGCATTTCCAGTCCCCAGGCCCCATTCTTGGCGTTGTGCCATGCCCAGCCACCCTGAAGCCCTAGGCAAAGGGGAGACCCTTGGATACCCGTCCTTCATTATTTCCGACTGGTATTTCTTCATCATGGATTTTGTGTTGATTTTGATTTTTTCTAAGTATCGCATTAATATGTCATTGGTCTTGATGACCGAGATTTTGGGCACCTGTGAATGGTGAACAAAGGAACCGGCTGGTCCTGGTGGGGGAGCAGGGGCTGCTGGCTCCTCGTGGCAGCTGGAGCTGTCCAGGCCGGGGGGCGTGGCACCCCTGTTCCCACCGGGTGAGCGGAGCGGCGCCTGGAGCCTGGTCTGGGCACACCTCTCCTCCCACTCTGCACTCTGCCTCCCCACAGGTCCGGGTTTTACTGGAATGGTGTGGCTGTCTTTCCAGAGCCACCTCCGGATGGGGTGTACCCCAACATGAGCGAGCCCGTCACCCCAGCTAACATCGACCTATACGCCAAGGAGCTGGTGGCCAACGTGAAGCAGAGGGCTGCCTGGTTCCAGACTCCTTACATCCTCTGGCCCTGGGTAAGGCAGGGACCTGGGCCTCATGTCCTGTCACAGCCCAGGGCCTGCTGTGCAGAGTCCAGCCCCTGTGCTCGGGCCCTGTGGCAGCTTGCACCAAGCCAGCCTGCCCAGGCCCCACCACTCTGCACCCCTTCCCCACAGACCACAGGGCCTCAGCCACTCCTCCAGCCTCCCTCCACCCTGGACTCACCCCGGCCTCTCCCACCTGACAGCAAACCCCCGGGCCAAGCAGCTTCCACTCCCGCCTGATGGACCGCACTTGCCTTTGCAGTGTTGGGGGCTGAAGCCCAAGCCAGAACCCCCCCCACTTGACCTCCAGTTCCCTCTGTAACACGGGAACAATGACAGTACCTGCTGCATGGTCTCCATCCAGGGTTGGTGAGGGGCAGTACCAGGCAGGACACCATGCCACGGTCTCGGACCTTTACCAAGCACCTGCTGTGTGCCAGGCACTGTTCTAAGGGACCGTTCGCCTCGTCCATCTGATTTGCACCACTGAGCCTAGAAAGCGGACATTGCTGCTGACCCGTTTTGCAGTTGAGGGATCTGAGGCTCAGGAAGGTTAAGGAGTTTCCTAAGGCCACTCAGCCTCTTAGCAGGGCAGCTGGGAAGGGCAGGAATTCGTGTCCAGACCGGTCACCCAGGGCTGCCTCTCCTGAAGGTGCATAAAGGCCAAGGGATTAGTGATTATCACCCTAGCCATGTCCGCAGGTAGCAGTGCCATGGGCCTCGGATGCGCAGGGGTGCCAGCTGTGGGAGCCGGTGACCCTTGTTGGCGCCACGGAGAGTGGCAGGGCTACCATTGGGAGGCAGTGCTGACCCTCCTTCCTGGGCAAGGTCTGTGCTCTGAGGCACAAGCCATTGCTTCTGTGTCCCCTGCAGGGATGTGACAAGCAGTTCTTCAATGCCTCGGTGCAGTTCGCTAACATGGACCCGCTGCTGGACCACATCAACAACCGGTCCCAGGAGCTCGGCGTCTCGGTGGAGTACGCCACCCTGGGCGATTACTTCCGCGCCCTGCACGCCCTCAATATCTCCTGGGCCGTCTACAACCACCATGACTTCCTGCCCTATTCCTCAGGTACAAGCCTGGGCGCTGGGGTAGCAGTCTAGTATCAGGGCCGGCACAGGACTGCACATCCCTCAGTGTCCACAGGGGTGCCCCACAGGCCCTGTGTGGGGCCCTGAGGCAGACTGGCCCCACCTGCCTACTTTGTGGTTCAGCTCCCACCCTGCCCACACCAGCAGTTTGCCGCCCTGCCCTGGCAGTGCCCTGCAGGGGGCACCTTCCTCACCTGCTCCTTCTCCTGTGCCCTATATGCACCTCTTCCAGGCATCCCTTCCCCAGACACTGAGTCTGGGCTGGGTGACTCCACAGTGTCCCAACAGCCCCAGGCTTTCTTTTTTAATTGCTTCACTACTCTCGGGGATCTGGTCTCCTCTGTGTCACGAATGTGTCCTCAGGCCCGCAGCTGGCCGGCCACACATAGCACAACCTATGACCCTCTCCTCCGGGGCTCTGTAGAAGTCATGAGGCCTCCCTGTGGCAAAATGGGGACACCAGTGTGCTTTGTTCTCATGGTCGTAACAATTGCATGAGACCAGAAGAGCTCTTAGCCTCCCACCCAGCACACAGGGGGCTCAGCCAAGGGAGCTCGGAGTAACTGCGATGCTCAGACCAGAGTTTGAGATGAAACTAGATCCCCACTTCAGCCAGCGGATGTGTCTGGTTAGCTGGCCGAGAAGGCCTCTTGTCACGGTAGCAGCTCATCAAGGCAGGGGCGCCTCCTGTCAGCTCTGAGTCACAGCCGCCTAAGCCAGTTCTTCACAGCCATTGGGGGAGGTGTTGCCCCTCCTCACAGCAGTCTGTGTCCTCAGTGCTGCAGCGACCCCCGCAGTTCACCCCCAATTTCTTCTTTCTGAGTTCTTGTCTAGTGAATTCAAAGAATGAAATCCACAGACAGCGATGAATGAGTGCAAGAAAAGCCAGAGCTCTCTCAGGGCAAGAGGGGACCGACAGGGGTTGCCGCTCAAGTGTGCCAGTCTAAGGGTTTAGGTAGCGCCTGGGTCGATGCTATAGGTCCAAATTTTGCTGACGGGGTTTGGAAAAGTACCAGTGCTGTTGGTCGGGCTGCGATCCCATTCAGGTCTGCCCTGCTTTCATTTTCCTGCTGCTCCTGGAGAAGGGGGAGGTTGAGGTCAGAGAATCATGGGTACTCAGGGGTTCAAGGCTGCAGCACTGTGTAGAGTGGGCACCAGCACCAGGCCTCGGCCTGGCCACCCAGAGACATCCTGGCTGGCCTGGGCCCTGGCTGTCTGCTCCTCAGGCCCACACCTGCCCAGCTCCAGCAGCTGCAGCCGAGCTGGCTGCCTGCACTCCAGCCACCAGCCCTGCTCCAGGACGAGGGCTTGGCTACAGCGCTGTCCCCAGTCCTTTGTGCCAGGTTAGGAATGTGGCTTGCTAGCCCCTGCTTGACAGACTGCTGCATGGCCTGCAGGGTACAGCAAAGCTGCTGGTAGCATCAGCACCCTGTCCCTGTGGGCCCTACAACCCACACCCCCGGGCACCCCGCTGGCGGCTCCTGCAGGTCTACTCACCTGCCTAGCTTGGGGGACAGGTAGAAATTGCTCTTCTCAGCCCACTCCCAGACCTCCTCGGGCCTCCACAGGGGGACGGCTTTGGCCAAATGTTAAAATCTACATTGGTTGCATAAGATGAGCAGCCCAGCCAGGCTGGGTGGGATGGTGGCTGGGCCACCATGAGCCAGGAAAGCGCAGGCTCTCAAATGCAGCCCTTCCTCCCAGCTCTGCCTAGCACTGACTCCCATGCTTGGCTGACTGATTCGAGAGGCTGCTTTGGGAAAGGAGGCAGTGATGAAGAGGCATGCCAGGCTGTCCCCAGAGAGCTGAGGAAGCCCAGGGGCATCTGGCCAGGTGGCCACCATGTCATATGGCCTGGGCACCTGGAGCTAGGCCTATCTGGGGCCTCCCAACCACAGTGACAGGCAAGGACCGGCCCTGGGCAGTGACTCCCAGCACACCTGGGTTTGGGTCACACCCCTCCCAGCATGGGCTGTTGCTCCAGCAAGTGGAGACACTTCTTGAGCTCTGGGGTGGTCGTGGTAAAATGAGGTTTCTGCAGGACTAGGGGGGACACCCACATGAAAGCTTCCTGGTGGCCAGCCCCCTTCTCCCTCTTTATTTGTGGCTGCAGGGCTCCGGGGGACCTGGCTGCTACTCAGACTCATGCCTGTCGGGGGTTAGGCTTACCACTCTGGGCCTCGGTCTCAGGCTGCGTGGAGATGGGGTGGGCTGCACAGCTGCCAGGACCCTCTGGTGTGCACCAATTTGCTGAGGGGTGAGGCTACAATCAAGGTGGGCGGAGATATGTGGGTGTGGCTACAGTGAAAGTGGGCAGGGATTTGTCCTGGGGACGCGATGCGCCCTTAGTGGGGGCGGGTGGTTAGAGCTAGGCAGAAGAGTTGTGGGCGTGGCTAGCTGTGAGGTGGGCGTGGCCAGTCCAGGCTGGCTGCTCGAATTAGCTTTTGGGCTGTAAAGTTGCCTGATAGAGAATCCAGGCCCCCAGCCTTGACCCCAAGCCCTCATCCGTTTAGCCATGAAGCTGCAGGGGACGCTGCCTATCTGACTCCACAGCCTGTGGCCTTTCCTCTGGGCCGTGGGGCCACCCACCAGGGACTGGCCCAGGTCTGTGGGGAAGAGCAGAGAAGAGGCACAGGGCAAACCCGGGGCAGCAAAGAGGCAGACCCTGCAGGGAACTGAGAACCCCCTTGGGAGACAGGCAGACTGAGGTGCTCAGCCGTCTCCCTCCCGGGCCCTGGCAGCCAGACAGCAGCTACCTGGGATGGCTCAGCTCCCACACCACCCCGAGCATTCTCCCTGGGCCTCGGGAGGCTGCTGAAGTGCAGGCCTGTCCCAGGACTCCCCGTGGCCCAGGGCTCACACAAAGTCCTCCTTCTGGGGCTGTGTCCTACCCCCCTGGTTCCTGTCTTGCTCTCTTCCCTCCCTGAGGTTTCCCAGATACCATCTTGTCACTGGCGTTGATCCTCCTGCACCTACTCTGTCCCCAACCTGCCCTGACACTCCTGCCCTGCCCCAGGCTCTGTCCAGGGCTCCCTGAGCAGTTCTCTTCTGGCTTGGAGAAGGTCCCTGGACTGAGAGCCACAGCCTGGGGTCACCGCCTGCCCAAGTTGCCCTCCTAGGCCACCCAGGCACACTCTGCCTTTCTGGTCCCCGTTCCTGAGCAGTGCAAGAGTGAGGACATAGTGGGCTCCACAGGCAAGGGACCCTCAAACTCCCTGTCTGCCCTCGTCTCCCAGAACCATTTGCTGCCTGGACGGGCTTCTACACCTCCCGCAGTATGCTCAAGGGGATGGCACGGAGAGCCAGCGCCCTGCTGTACGCAGGGGAGTCCATGTTCACGCGCTACATGTGGCCAGTGCCCCACGGGGCTCTGGACCCCACCTGGGCCCTGCAGCAGCTCCAGCAGCTCCGCTGGGCCGTCTCGGAGGTAAGGCCAGGCTTCTCAGCCACAGGGGTGGGACTGACACCCCTGCTGTGCACCCTTGTCCTAGCAAATCCTCCAGCCCAGGCTCTGGGGCCCCATTTCACAGATGAGAAAATGCGAGACTCCCCGTCACTGGGTCGTGCACCATAAAGCTGGGCCAAGTTCTCTTGGCACCCAGCTGGTGGCTTCAAAGCTTTATATGTGATTCTTCCAAGAGGAATAAGAACCAAGTAGAATGTCCTGCCTGGAGCTAAACCATAGCCCCACTGTGACCTCAGTGACAACATCTAGGAGGGTGGAGGGCAGTCGTGACAATAGGCTTGACCTGGTTGGCACTGCGGCTGCCACGTAGCCAGGGTTCCAGGCTTTCCTTCTCCACGTGCTCCCCAGGAAGGAAAAGTGAGGCCCCAGGAGCCTTGTATGCTGTCCATGGTCACCCATCCACACGGGACCATGCTGGCTGTGACTTCTTTACAGCTGCCTGAAGGGGCAGCTGGCAGAATTTGCCTTGTGCTGGGCGTACACTGCCCTAAAGTCCGTCAGAGCGGCTGGCCACAGCAGCTTCCACTGTGGAGCTCCATGTCCCCTTCTGTGAGGACACAGTCCTGCCCCTGCCTCAGAGCAGAGGAGTGTGAATGTCGGGTGATGTGAAGGGTGCCCAGAACAAACCAGCTACGCGTGGGGCAAGATGGACCAGGTGGGGCAGGTCCTTCCCAGAGTCTCCTGGCTGCCCAGGATGGCAGACCTGGCCAGGAGTTCCACAAGGTCAGCGAAAGGGGCCGGTTCTGCAGCCTCTCTCACCTCAGCTTCCTCTTCTGGGAAGTGAGAGGGACACCCACCTTCTCCCTGGCATGAGACCAGCACCTTGTAGGGTCAGATCCTGATCCCCGCCTCTTCCTCACATCTGACAACGGGTGCCACAGGTCCAGCACCATGATGCCATCACTGGAACTGAGTCCCCCAAGGTGAGAGACATGTACATGGAGCATCTGGCCACAGGGATGCAGGGCGTGCGCAAGATAATGTCCTCTATTGTCCTGGACAAGTTCCAGCTCAGGCTGACAGCCCGGGCAGCCGAATCAGGTAAGCCAGACCCCCACAGAGAGGCTGAGGCCCCCCTCTGAGAATAGAGCCCAGAAGGGCCAAGGAGGAGGCCTAGTGTCCTGAGTCCACAGCCCCTGCGACCCCTTACTGTTGGCATGACCTTGACCTTGGCAGTGGCTCCAGTGCCCCAGGCCCCACTTCTTCATCTACGGGATGAGGAAGGGCTGACGTGAGCCTTGGGGATGGTAAGCCTGGCATCTGTAAGACTGGGCCTGTCATGGTCCTCATTTCATAGCTGGGATCCTGAGACCCTTTATCTACTAGCTCAGGGCCACACGGGTCGGAAGGAACAGAGCAGGGGTCTGACCCCTTAACCCATGCTCCCCTGCCTTGCAGGGAAGATGCCAGTGTCCTTGGCCCCGTCCTGCTCCCAGCACCCTCCTGGGCTCAGCTGGGCTGCAGATCACTTCCTGGCGGCCGTTGGATCCGCCTCCTGATCACAAGGTTTCACAAGTTGCTCAGTGTGCCAGTTCACCCAGGACGGGGGCTGTCAAACCCGAAAAATCCTGGGCAAATGGGGACAATTGGTCTCCCTACAGAAGCACGAGGTTTTCCTATCCACGGCCCTGATCCCCGCCTCTGCCTTCACTGTGGTCACGCACTTCCCAATGCTCCCCCCGGCCTTCCCGCCGCCCCAGCAGTGTCTGGGCGATGCCATCTTCCAGCCCTGCCCTTGCCCTTCCCTCTTGCAGGTCTGGAAGGCCTTGGGGACCAGGACTGGAATAAACAGGACCCCCACCCTGGGGCATCAGGGCACTGAGAGAGACAGGCACAGACAGGCCCCTGTGAGATGGGCTTTGATGTCATTGCCAAGTGGCACAGTTCATGGGCAACCACTCCAATGCCATGCTCATGCCATCCCCACAGGCACACAGGGAGTCAGGAGAGAAGACAGAGAAGCCGTCCCAGGCACAGGGGAGGAGCCAGCAGAGCGGGGAGGCTGCAAAGCGGGTGCCGTGTTGGGGATCCTGGGACTTCCAGCACAGGAGATGGCAGGATGGGAGAGACGGGAGGCCAGGCCCATGGTGCAGGGCCCCCAAGTGCCAGTTCAGGCTCCAGAGACTTTTTCCTCACAATGCCAAGTACTCAAAGCTTTGGACCCCGGCCTCGGAAGCTGGGTCACTTTAGGCCAATGACTGTACTTCTCGTGTCTCAGTCTCCTCATCAGTAAAGTGGGCCCATGGGGAGAGATATGTGAGGGACAGCGGACCCTCAGCCACCCGAGGGACACCTCATTTTCCCTTTGTTCCTTCCCCGCTCAGGGACTGCACTGAGTCACATGTGACCAAGCTGTGCACCTGCTCCTCCCTGGCTGCCCTGGGGGCTCCAGAGGGCTGGGTCTCACCTGCCTTTTTCCCCTGTACACAGAGGTGTGGAGTGAGCCAGGCAGCAACCCGAGGCCTGATGGGTACTCTGCCTCAGTCTACAACCCCTTGGCCTGGACCGTCACCACCATCGTCACCCTGACTATTCACTTCCCCAGAGTCAGTGTCACAGACGAAATGGGCCACCCCGTGCCCGCACAGGTATGGACATGTGGTCCTGCAGGAGGGACGTTTGCCATTTGCCACTTGCTGATCTAATCTGTGTCCCACTTGCACATGCAGAAAGGCCTGGGGGTCTCAAAGGGCTGAACAGGGCTGCGGATGTTGGCGAGGCGCAGGCTGCCCCTCCCACCCCCCTGACGTCCGCTGCCGTCTCTTCTCCCCTTCCGCTGCCCGGAGCTGCCCTGGTTCCAGAGGCACTCTGCCATCCAGCCCACGCCCCCTTGGGGAGGAGGGAGAGGGACTGACATGGCTCAGCCACTCAGCACACACCCTCCAGGTGGGGTGCTGGGCCCCTGGACAGCAGTGAGGCCCAGCCCACCAGGGGACCCTGTCACAGATGGTTATGGTGTGGAGGGTGACTCAGGAGCCAGTGGAGGGTCCCCAAGCCGAGACTGAGGAGGAGGGGAGGCCTGGAATAGACCCAGCACGTGCCACCCCTGTGTCCTGAGTGCAGGGCCCATGGAGAGGAGTCCCCTCCACAGGGATTTCTGGAGCTCCGCCGTGTGTCAGACCCTTCCCAGGTGCAGGGACACTGCAGTAACCACAGGACAGAATCCCTACTGTCTGTCAGGGATAAAATTCTAGTGGTGAGACAGGTGAGAAGCAAAATAAGACGGGGCCAGTGACAGCCGTGGGGAACAGTTAACAAGCACCAGGGCTGGGGCTCACCTGACAAGGGTGGCCCAGGTCACAGCCCGCACGGTGGGGTGAATGGGACAGTATCTGTGTTTGGGGTAAAGGTCAGGTTCGGGGCAGGAGTGGCAAACGTGGGTTTAACACTAGGCCCCTAGGAGCCTCCCCAGGGACACGGAAACTGCATGCCTCAGCTGCAGAGCCGCCAGGAGGTCCCCAGCCCAAGTCTCTTACTTGTGGCTTTTGAAAAAGGGGTCAGTGAATCAGACAAGTTGAAGGGGCCAGAAAAAGATCTATTCATGATGCCCAGAGAAGAGAAGATGGCAGGCTGTGGGGCTCACAAACCCAGCTCCCCCCAGTGAGAGTCAGGCAAGGGAAGGGAGGGGGCTGAGGACAGGCCAGGGCCTCTGACTGAGGCGCGTAGGTGCCCTGGGTGGGTCTGCTCATGGTGAGAGCTTGGCCTCCTTGGAAATGGCTCAGTACCGTTATCTTGGTGTCTTCTGCCTTAAAGTGGGGGAGACGTCAGGTAAGTTTCAGGCAAATCAGCCTGTGCTCCCAGACCTGGACGGCAGGCCTTAAATGGGCACCCTGGCTGGCGCAGAGTTGAGCAGAAACCTGATGCAGGGTTCAGTGGGAAGGGGGGGGGCGGATCCAGCCTGAAGGCAGAGCTTTCCCGCCCTGTTATGGCACCCGCAGGACAAAAGCAGGCTTGGCCCCAGGCACAGTGGCACAGGCCTATAATCCCAGAGGCTCAGGAGGCTGAGGCAGGAAGATCCTGAGTTCAAAGCCAACCTCAGCAACAGGGAGGCACTGAGCAACTCAGTGAGACCCTGTCTCTAAATAAAATACAAAACAGGGCTGGGATGTGGCTCAGTCGAGTGTCCCTGAGTTCAATCCCTGGTACCAAAAAAAAGCAGGCACCCGAGCTGTTCCCATCATGGGTGACTAATATGAATAGTTCCCCTGTGTGACGTCCAGAGGAGTGATTTGTAAAGTAGCTAAAAGCAACCTAAGCAGGGGGCTTTTCTAAGACCCCTTCCAACACCCGCATCCCAAGCCAGATACCTTGTAGCTGGGAGAAGGCAGGAGGGTTGACTGGAAAGGGTCCTTCTCTGTGGAGACAAGGGATGGGGTTGCCCCTTCCGAGGAAGTGAGGGGCCGCTGCATCTTGCTGGAACTGAGGACCCCCTCATCGAGGGGGGAGGAGGGTCTTAAGAACTCCTCTGGTGCT